CTCTCTCTCTCTCTCTCTCTCTCTCTCTCTCTCTCTCTCTCTCTCTCTCTCTCTCTAGCAAATCTCGATCAATGAATAAACTTTGTGTTTTGCTTGATACCTCGTGGAAGTATCCAGTATCGCTCACGTCGTTAAGTGGTCTGTAGGTGGCTGGATGAGTTATCCACTGTAACGAAGGCATCTCCGAGAGTGTGAAGAGTCTGGCATAGCTGGCAAGCAGCTTGGTGATCCTGTTCGCACTTTCGATTTCCGATATGGATCTGCTCAGCTTATTCTTTTGTTTTTTCCACATGGATGAAGAATTGAAGCAGGCTAGGTTTTTTGGAAAGCCTCGGTGGCTGCAGGTTGGCAGATGACAAATGAGCTGCATGTTCGCCGTTGTATTTTGTCTTCTCAAGGCAACATTCCCGTGACAAGGCCCACCGCGGGGTCATCTGGCAAGAGGGGAAGCGGTTGCCTTTCGTGCACCAACCCTTTCTGAGTTTGCACCCTCTGCGAAACTAGGCAACTACCTACAGCGGATGGGTCGGCGGTGACCGGTTAGCGCGGCCGATTCTATAATCAACGACACAAACGAGCAAGCACGTGTGTTGTAAACATGGATTCAACAGAGGAGGCTTCCCTCTTTTGCGGCTAGCCTCAACAACCCTACAGTATGACTGGCATATACATGAGGCTTCGGACTTGCCCGCACGCTCCTCTCTGACGCGGGTCCGCTAGACGTTCTCTCCATCGCATCGTTAGCCCTTCACCACCAACTAAACGTCAAAGCATCAGAGGTTTTCATTTCAGGCCTCGACGCATAATAATCCCTAGTTCTGCAGATGTTCTCGAGCTATTTTGTGCAGGTATGTATGTTGTCGCCAAAACCAAAAAAGTTAGCAGTCAATATTGTCTGCTGTTATACCCAGATGGGTCAAAGGAGGTAGTCGGGGGATAAACGATGCAAAATAGCCAAAACAGTGGGTCATCAAGACCGCAGACGTAGTACATCTCGCCGGTAGAACATGTTTTGGAGGAGTGACAAATATTACCCTGGGTGCGTGAGTGGTCCAATTACTGTATATAAATCCGCAGAGGGTGGGTTGAAGCAACTCACGATGTTTGTTTTTCTATGTTGTGCCGGCAATAGAGCAGAAAAGCTCTAAAAGTTTTCATTTTCCCCGTGTTTTCGGCGAGTCTTGTCTGCTTTCACCCTCACCATTCATCCATCCATTTTGCATAAACTTGTGGTGCGGATATCATACCAAGTACCCATTCGACGGTCATACAGAAAGGTTTGGAACAACCAGTTTCAAATGAGATCCGGAATAACCACAATATTAGCATAACAATTATTCTTGCAGCACCACAAGTACACGTCGGGCCTGCAATGCATGCCAGTGGCCCTCGTCGCTGCAGGACTATTAATTTAGCTATTTCAGCACGATTGCCCTCCAGACAACAGGGACCAGACCTTTGCGCTCGCTGCCTTGTGCAACACGTACAACTGTGATCTGGCGCCTTCACATGTAGCGGACATTCACTTGCTCTCCAGTGGCCTGAAACCGTGTACCCCCCCCCTGCTTATTGTTGTGTTTTTCCTCTGTCTCCCTCTACCTCTCGCGCCAGCCTCGTGGGTCTTTTACCCCGTCATCAACGACGTGTACCAGGAGTACTTGGAGGAGCAAGCGGAGGCGGCGGCAGAGGCTGCTGCAGCAGCTGCCGAGGAGTCCTAATCGACACGCCAGAAGGCTATGTGTCGGCTTCTCTGTTAGAAAGTTTCATGAGCACAAACGTTTTTTTTTCTGGCTCTGTTCCAGACGGCGTCATACTGAGTCGTGGCTCGAAATCGCTCAGTGGCGTTAAACGAGTCTTCATCGGTGTGTACCAGCGGTCGCGTGGAAACTCCGGGTCATCCGGTGTCTTGTTCTTAGTCGGCGTTTTCTGGGCGTGTTTGATCGATTCGTATTGTCGTCAAGACGCTGTGCTGCGATTTCTACGAGGCAGGGACGAGCTGCCGTACGGAAGACCGGTCGTGTGGTTGGTCTTGGACCAGTACGGTAGATGCGCTGCTGGTTTAGCGTATCCGCGACAGCTCGAGATAGAAAAGAGGGGCACCTTGACCCCACTGAATCCAACTTGAGAACGGCGCATTTTGTTGGTGGCTTCAAATTCTTGGTACAGCAGTACGGGATCTCTATGGGGGGTCAACCGATGATACGGAGCGGCGCAAAAGGACGGGCGGGGTAGGCGCAATGCTCAATACTGGATGCACGTGGCCTGCGCTTTACCGCTGAAGTCCCTCGACTCACCGGGCTCCACAACTGTGGACAATGACACTTTTGTTGTGGTACTATCCCGTTCTCGACGTGGAAAACGAATTCGTACCACGCAAGCGTAGGAAAGAGGAGCCCCGCACCGGCAGCAGGGTCATTCCTTGCATCGACCTCCCCAACCATATCTTTGAGGATTGGATCTCTCTCAAGGGCGCCCGCACTGGAGGGGGAATGATTGTGCTGCACCATGAAGTCCCACCCCTGGTCGGGTATGTTATGCCTTCTCTTATGCGACCACGCCTTGCTTAGCAACCACCCCGCAACGGAATGGACCTTCCCACGCGCCGTTGAGATCTTGTGGATTTCCGTAGGATAGGCGAGAGCCACCGTGTTCGATTTCTCCCTCTCTTCCATGAACACGCGGTATAGCTCCTGGCGCGCACAGAGGGGGTACAGGCTTTACTAAATTATTTGAACGAGAAAAACAAGAAGTGTAAATTGAAATGCCGAAGGAAGGCTGACAAGAGCGAACTAAGGAGGACTACGAGCTTGCAAGATAGTCGACGCGGTTTTATATAACCCGCCCCATCATCATACCTCCTCAAAATCACCTGTCCATTAACTGTTTTTACTCCTTCTCCGTAACTCTGCAGACGAAACACCCACGGTCATAAGAGTTGTACTCGGTGCGTGCCACCTTGCGTGCGTACCTCATCCACTACGTTGATGATGCAGCACAGGTAGTATGTGCCCTGGTCGCCCTGGCGTGTGCGCGCGACTTCCTGAACGCTTTCATGGTTGATCCACGTTCTTATCCGGTCGGGCCATGTCTCGAAGCGTGACAACGTGAAAGTGGACGCTGTCCTTGTTGTAGGCTTGCGTGCTCTGCCAGCGGCCAGAAGGTCTACCAGGTATTTCCAGGAGGTCATGATCATCTCTCTGGTAGGGGGGAGGTCGATGACCATACCCCAAATACTTTGCAGCCAAGGGAAATGGTCTAGCGCAGCGGTTACGCCTTTGTTTACCAGCGCTACATCACGGCGTCGTCCCGCACTTCAAAAGCGACTAAATTGGACAAACAGGGTGAGAGCAACAAGCACGAGTGAGTACGAGTGAGTGCGTTTCTTCGCAAAACGAAGCGACACATTGGTGACGTTACTGTCCATAATCTACGAGCATTTGCAGGCAACTCACAGACCGCGCCCGACGGATCTCAGAACTAATACATGTCCGGATCATCTTTTGGTAGATAGAAGACGACGGTTTCGAACCCGCTCGCCACGACACCATGCCTAAGACGTTGCATATCGATCCGCATACCTCAAACACCTGGATATTTGATCTCGCCTGGCCAGAGTGCTCGTTCAGCATAGCAGCCACGGGGGATAGAATCCCTAAATCCTGTTCCACCTCATGTTCTGAGTCTTCTTCGGCCATGTTGTCATCGTCCGAATCCTCCGAGTGACCTTGAATGAGAACGAACAGACGCGTGACAGAGGACGGTCGCATGAACTCGACGGCCTGATTATCTGCTGTATCGTGCTCTGATTGATGTGTCTCTCATTTATCTCCTCTATGTATTGAGCAAGTCTGTTGCCATGCACGACGTCCGCGGCGGTGAGACCACAGCAGAGGTGCTATAAGGTGACAACAGAATTGTAGTTGCTGTTTGTTGTGTAGTTGGCAGTGGTGGCGCAGTTTGGGTAGATACAACACAGAGTGATCATTAGATCCAAAACACAGGCGCCCAAGCTGTCTTCACCTGACGGTTACAGACTTGGAGACACGCCTTCACAATACTGCACAAAACCCATGCAGTAGAATAGAGTCAGTTCTTGCATACAAATCCCAACA